CCTATCGCTAGAATGCGTGCGTTAATGTCGCCCATTAAAAAACACAAACAAATCAACTTTTTTCTAGAGGAACTACGGTGTTTTGATTCCTTCATTGGATACGTAGGCAAAGGGTCGCGAAACCCTCACGAACGCAATAATAAAAACTCATTTCTTTCCCCTTAAGTAAACATAGTTGTAGATAAATACACCCTTGTATATAACAAACAATTTTAACCAAAAACAGATATTTCAAAAGGTTCCTGCGGAGTACCGCAGATGCATTGGGTGCTAATACCTTCCCATTGTATAACCAACCCCCGAACTCTAGACCTCTTTTCAAAAACGCATTGTATTTTCATTACTTTTAAGTATTATTTTACATTGCATATTTTAGGGTTTTATTTCGCTCTTTTCCCTTTCCCCTTGGAAATAATAAAGCGCGGTGGCGACTCTTTCTTTTGCGAGTTGAGTTAATTAATAGCTCAATCTCTGATTTTCACCGCTACAGAAGAAACAGAACTTTGCTTGATATGACCAGAAGTATGCTGAAAGAGAAGAAGATACCTCACATGTTATGGGGAGAAGTTGTTGCCAGGTCAGCATATGTTCTGAATAGGTGTCCAACAAAGAAGCTTAAGGAAATTATTCCTTCAGAAAAATGGACTGGAGACAAGAAAAGTGTTATCCATCTGAAGGTGTTTGGTTCTGTATGCTACAAACACGTTCCAAAGGCTAGAAGACGAAAATTGGATGATAGAAACAAAGTAATGTTACTGGTGGGGTACCACAGTACAGGTGCCTATAAGCTTTATTGTCCAGAAACTAACAAAGTTGAAATCATCAGAGACGTCATTGTGAAAGAGTCAGAAACATGGGATCAGAACAAGCTTCAATCAAATTCTGGTGTAGCGCCAACACCAGAGTTAGTTTCTGAAGATTCTTCAGAAAGTTCTGAAGACGAGTCAGAGTTAGAAGATGAAGACTCTAAAGATGAGACAAAATCTCATGGAGATTTTGATAGTGGATCTGATTCTGATCCAGATTCTGATGATGATCCAGAATCTGGTGGTGATTATATTTCTGAAAGGGAAAAATCTGAAGACGTAGGGTCTGGAGAACAAGTTTCCAGAAGTAACTCTGAAGTTGGTAATTCTGAAGGAAGTAGTTCTGAACAAAGTCCAGAAGCTAGCATTGTTCTGAGTTCTGGAGAAGCTTCAGAACAAGTTCAGAGGCCACAGAGAATCAGACGAATACCAAGTAAGTTTGCAGATTTTAGCATGTTGCATGATACTGAAGTAGATTCTGAAGGAGAAATCATTCAGTGTGCCATGTTAGTAGATTCTGAACCAGTGGGTATTGAAGAAGCTCTCAAGAAGAAAGTATGGCTGAATGCCATGAAAGAAGAACTTAAGGCTATTGAAAGAAACAAAACATGGAAGCTGACGAAGCTTCCAGAAAATAAGAAAGCCATCAGCTTCATATGGGTTTTTAAGGTGAAGCTTAAGCCAGATGGATCAATTGGCAAACACAAAGCGAGACTAGTGGCTAGAGGTTTTCTTCAGAAACCTGGACTAGATTACTTTGAGGTGTTTATGCCTGTAGCTAGATACGGAAACAATCAGACTGGTGATTGCTTTAGTTGCAAACATAAATTGCCCTTTGATACATCTGGATGTGAAGTCTGCATTTCTGAACGGTCTGTTACAATAAGAGGCATATGTGTAGCAACCTCCTAGATTTGTGAAAAAGAATCAAGGGATGGTATAAAAGTTACATAAAGTCTTATATGGACTGAAACAAGCGCCCAGAGCTTGGAATCTGAAAATTAATTCGTTTTTCAAGAGGCAGAAGTTTCAGAAATGTGAGATGGAGTATGGCGTGTATGTGCAGCATTCTGGTAGCAATATGATTCTGGTGTGTCTATATGTTGATGACATATTGCTAACAAGAAGTTGTCCAGAAGATATAGTCAAGTTCAAAGAAGTTCTGATGAATGAATTTGAGATGACAGATCTGGGAAATATGGTATATTTTCTAGGAATGGAAATTCTGTACTCAAAGAAGGGTATCATTCTGCATCAGCTGAAGTATGAACTTGAACTTCTGAAGAGATTTGAGCTAGAAAATTGCAAGGTTTCTATCACACCTGCTGATACGAATCAGAAGTTGGACTCTGATTCTGATGGAGAGGATGTGGATGCTACAACCTTCAAACAGATGGTTGGTTCTCTGAGGTATTTCTGTAATACCAGACCTGATATTTTCTATGCAGTTGGAATGATTAGCAGATACATGAGTTATTCTGGTTCTGATTGGTGTTGAGATAGAGTTGACAGAAGAAGTACTTCTGGGTACTTGTTCAAATTTCTGGGAGGTCCAATTTCTTGGAGTTCCAAGAAACAGTATGTTGTGGCTTTGTCAACATGTGAAGCTGAATATATTGCAGGTGCTATAGCTGCATGTCAAGCTGTTTGGCTTCTGAATCTTCTGGAGGATTTGAAGATTGAAATAGAGAAACCTCTGAAACTGTTGATTGATAACAAGTCTACAATCAATCTTGCCAAGAATCATGTGCTACATGGAAAAAGCAAGCATATTGAGACGAAGTATCATTTTCTGAGAAGTAAAGTGCAGAAAGGAGTGTTAGAAGTTCTGCACTCTAGCACTCAGAAGCAGTTGGCAGATGTTCTGACGAAGGCGATAAAAACAGACCAATTTCTTCGCTTGAGAGATGAAATTGGTGTTGTTAACTTCTGATAGTTACTAAATTACGTGATGGTATTAGAGGGTAATTTAATATTTGTCATTTATTAGATATTCTCTTTAGAACCTACGTGGCATCCTTATCTTTACTACTTTTGTGTATTAATTAATTGAACCACTAATTTTATCAATCACTTCAATTAATTATAAATTATTAGTCATAAACTTTAAATTATAAATTATCATTCGTCAACAATCAATTATAAACTATAAACCATAAACTATCGGTCATAAATTATAAACTATCAAATAATTTCTCACTTAACCAAATAAAGTCATACAATACCATTTTTTTATTATTTTGATTTTAGGTTAAAATATCTCTCTCTTTCTTTCTCTCTTATAAAAGATATACACATGCAAATATAAATTAATTTTTTTTGAGTGATTTTTTTAACATACAATTTATCTTGTTCTCTCCTTTTAGTAAATAATGTGATAGAAAAGAATATTTATAAAATTTTAAAAATAATGGGAAAAATGCAAATATTTATAAAAGTTAAAATAAAAATGGAAGAAGAAATCTATATATTATTATTTTTTAAATGAAAGAAGTTGAATTATAGTTACTGTAAAAAAAATTTAAAGGTAAAATTAGAATGAAGGAGTCGGTTGCCTTTAATAGAGATTCATTAGAAAAATATATAAATTACATTCAAATCATGTAAATTAACCTAATATTAATTCCTCATAAAAGAAAATAAAAAAAAAGGTTATAAATGGATTATCATAACAATCTTGAATGATTTGTAAGTGTGAATGGCTCATCAACCAAATTGACATCTCAAGTTTGAAAAAAATATAAAATAGAGAAGATTAAAATCTCAAGTTATAAAATCAAATAAAGAAAAAATAAAAATATATAAAAGACATATGCTAATAACCAAATGTAACGTGTATTTTTTTTATAACTTTTACACTTTCAAATATTAATTTATTATAGTGTTCATGAAAAGGAGGATAAGAGATCCTTAAATGAATTGATCTTAATCCATTTCCAAATGATTGATTGAAATATAGTATTCAAATTTACTCCAGCACTTGTATTCTCCGGGGCAATATGTTTTTTTTTTTTTTTAAATTGATAAGTTAATATTAAAGTAAGTTGTTTTGGAATTTCATTGCTGCTAATCTAAATAGGAAACATGATAGAATTAATTTGACATTTAAAAAAGAAATCAATTGCATTGAATCTATGTTTGACATTTAAAAAAAATAAAATCAATTGCATTGAATATATGTTAATTTCGTATATTCATTTTCAAATTATAATTAGAGACATCACCCATAATATTAAAATTTACTCACAATCACAATTTCCTCATTGCTATTAATATTAAAAAAATTAAATTAATAACGATTGTTACACAAATATTCAATAAACCTATTACTCCTATGTTTTTATTCCAATTGCTTATAATATTTATTTTGAATAAGTGAGATAATTTATGTGAAAAAATTGTTAGTCAGACCAACAAAAAAGTTAAATAAAAGACAAAAAAAAAATAGAAAAGAAACCCAAAGATGCATTGTATAAAGAATAAATCAAGACAACTTTTAAAAAGAAAATTACAATATATAAAAATCATTTAATTCTTAAGAAATATTGACAAATGTCGTAGGACATTGTATAAAGAATAAATCAAGACAATTTTTAAAAAGAAAATAGTTTATTTATTATTTTGATATTTGTTTAACTTATATTTTTAAAATAAAAATTCATTTTATAATAATACTTTTACACAGTTATTAGTATAATTCATTTAATAATATTGGATTCCCTCATCCAACAAAAAGTTAAATAAAAGACAAAAAAATAGAAAAGAAACCCAAAGATGCATTGTATAAAGAATAAATCAAGACGACTTTTAAAAAGAAAATTACAATATATAAAAATCATTTAATTCTTAAAAAATATTGACAAATGTCGTAGGACATTGTATAAAGAATAAATCAAGACAACTTTTAAAAAGAAAATAGTTTATTTATTATTTTGACATTTGTTTAACTTATATTTTTAAAATAAAAATTCATTTTATAATAATACTTTTACACAGTTATTAGTATAATTCATTTAATAATATTAGATTCCCTCATCCCAGTCACATATTTGTAGGGGTAAAACCGTCCTTTGCAAATATAGAAAACACCATAATTTACTGGCTATAAATAGCCACAGCCTCAGACATTCTAAACAATAGTTGAAAATAATTATAGATTTTACAACCAATCTTGAAAAATCAAAATTTTGAGAGATGAAAACTGAAAGCGTTTTGATCTTTGTTCTTCTCTCTTTATCTGTAAACGTGTTTTCTGAGGCTGCTAGAACCGGCGGCTGGACTCCAATCAAGAACATCAATGATCCATACGTGAAGGAGATCGCTGAGTTCGCATTGACAGAACACGGGAAACAATCTGGTGAAAAATTGAGTCTGGTGAAAGTAGTTAGCGGTGAAAGTCAGGTTGTTGCCGGAACCAATTATCGACTTGTGTTGGCAGCCAAAGATGAATCTGCTGCTACCAAGAATTATGAAGCGCAAGTTTGGGATAAACCTTTTGCACATTTTAGGAACCTCACTTCGTTTAAACCTCTTTCTTAATCTTGCTTTTTTGTAATCTTTGTTGAATTTTCAATAATAATAAGGTTTTGATTTTAGCAAGATCAAGATTAAACTTAATAATCTATTTGTTGTCTCTCAATTTCATGATTTTTTTATAATTCAATTGATATTAATTCCTCAAATCGAACAACATACCGATATATGTTAAATTTTTCTCTAAACAAATTTAATACTATCATCTGATGCTCTTAATTTTTCAATGAATTGACTTAAGAAATTGTTATTAGTTTGGATTTGTTTGTTTATAAACAAACATTCATTCAATAAAATTTATTTTAAAAAAAGGAAAGTTACCCTAAAAGTCTGAGTGCCCATTTTGATAGGGATGTCGACCTCCCCATGCACCATTCTTTTAGAACATGAGCCAACGTAGTGCTCTTGCACTCGATAGAGACATGCAGGACATCATTATGTTTCCTTCCTCTGGGACAGTCTTCAAATTGGTCAGCAGTTAAACTGGCCACACAGTCTTCAAATTACTTCTGGGTGTGCCTTCGTTTGGACAGGCTCAACCAATATCTCTTTGCCCCGAGTCTCGACTGACTCGGTAGCAGGGGTAATAGCAGAAGTAGCAATGAGAATATTAACAGGAGTAGCAAGCAGCAGGAATGATCACAGGAGTAGCAACAATAATTATCAATGGAGCGACTTTTGGAACAGATGTAATCCTGACATGTCTTTTGGAGGAGACCTTGGGAGGATTGGTGAAAATGGTAATGATAGAAACCGAAGGAGTAAGCAACCACTTAGAAGTGGGGGGGGGGGGTGAATAAGTGACTCTTTTTGTTCTTTCAAAACAAAGCTCAAAACAATAATGGAATAACACAGTTATTTTTATTCTGGTTCGTTTGAACTCAAACTACTCCAGTCCACCCGCCAAGGTGATTTTGCCTTTCTCAACAAGGACTTAATCCACTATAATCAACTGATTACAATCACACAACAACTGTTGTGACTAACAATGCACAAGTAAACTTACAAGTGACTAACACCACTAAGACTTAAATCTAGTCCTAGTCTGCTTGAGAAATCTGACCAAACTTGGTCTCTCAAGGAACAAATACAAAAGTATAATCTTTACAGATAATTGAAATAGAGTTTTCTTCTAATCAAGCTATATCACAACTGTGATTTTTATTAGAATGTAATACACAAAAATGTATGAACTATGAGTTTGTAAGCTTTTGAATCTTTCACGTAGTTTCTTGTTTGAACGTTGTTGTTAGCTTGCAATAAATATCCTTCTATTTATAGTAGGAGTAATAAGACCGTTGCTGCCTTCAGAGGAAATGAAGAGCATTAAATGCTTTGCGTGTATCCTTGCAAAATTCCATTCTCCAAGAAACAAGTTGTAGGCACTTGAGTGCTTTCAGCCGTCTTTGCATTAATTAGCAAACGTCAGAATGTAAGAACATGTTTCCTTTGCTTTGACAAGACACGTTGATTAAGACGTTGTTGCTTTAACTCAGAACATGCTTCATTCAACTTCTGGTCATAGCGTTGTTTGCAAAGATCTTTGAACAACGCTTGCTTTCAAGTTATCTTCAGAATCAAGAAGCCTGTTAGAAGTTAGAAGATACATTTAACAAATGAATGTTCTTACCAGAGTCGGCAGATGCGTTTGAATAAAAGGTTCTTTTATCAAAGAACTTCTTCATAATCTTTGCTTAGCATTTTGGAATGTTTCTTGTCAGAACATTAACTAAGACATTCAAAACACATTCATTAGAGCATAAATTATCTTAAATATAATCTAGTTATCATCAAAACACTTGGGATAGGTCAGAACTAATCTTGTTCTTTCAATCTCCCCCTTTTTGATGATGACAAAAAATTATTTTAGATAAAGAAAAGAAACAGATTAAGAGATAAGAATCTCCCCCTGAAATGAATATTTTTGTGCATAAGACATCCTGAGATTATTTAGTCAGAGTGATACACAGCCTTCTTTGAATTTCTTCAGAACTTCTTCAAGAAGATAAATCTTAGCTGGAATATTCTTTCAGAGTTAAATGATACCTGCAAAAATCTTTTGCACAGAAGGAATTCTTGCAATTTTGTTAGAATGTCTGAGACATAGTCCCATAACTGTTAAACAGTGATTAGTTAAAAAATGCACATTTTCTCCCCATTTTTGGCATAATCAAAAAGTGTAATAAATGAGAAATTTTGAAAGATTTCATAAAAAGTTAAAAATATATATCCAGAAGTACAAACAAAACATCCAAATAAGAGACAAAAAGGAACTAGGATTTCTTAGAGACAAGAGCCATCAGAAGGTTCTTGATCTCAGAGGTAGATTCACTTTGCATTGCCATCCAGTTCTTGAACTCTAGATTTGTTTGATCTTGCTTATCCATGCGTCTATTCAAGACTTTATTCTCCCTCTTTAGCTCTTTCAGAGTGTCCATAATGAGTGAGGTAGGGGCAGAAGATGATGAAGCTTCAGTAGAAACAGGGTCAGAAGCAACAACTGATGAATCAGACTTCACAAAGGTGGAGAGCAGAGTGCCCAGATCCATTGCAAGAGTTTGCACAGGTTCAGGTCCATCCTTAACTGAAGGTTGATTCAATAGAACAATAGCCAGAGTGTTGTACCCCAAAATTTTCCCTCCCATTTCCTCAACATTTTTTCATCACAAGACCCTTGGAGCTCAAGATCAAGTTAGGGTTTGCTCTGCTCAAGACTTCTCCTTGCACTGTTGACCCAAATTAGGGTTTGAGGTTGCACAAAGATGTTTTGACCTAAAAGGCCCAAAGTGACTTTCATGCTTCATGTTGGACTCACAAGTTTATCCATACCAAGTTTCAAGCCTTGATTCCAATCTTTGCCCAGTCAATTGGACAGTTGACCTAGAAATCAATTGTATTGGGGAAAAAGTCAACTATGGTCAATTGACAGTCAAACCTCATGAAATTTGACCCACATAAGCATTATGAACTCATATGAACCATTTGGTCAAGTTTGGATCATAATTCCACAAGAAATTTGATCAGATCACCAAAAGGGCAAAATGGTCATTTTTAGGGTTTTGACTGCACAAAGGAAATTTTTGACTGTTTGACCTAGCCAATGGAAAACCAAGATCACATATGGACTCAAGGACCCCATGGCATTGTCTTGACATGTTCAGCAAATTCAAAAGATCCCAAATGCACAAGATTGACAGATGAATTTTCCAGTCAACTGATCAAAATTTTACTGTATACTGAAAAGTCAAACTTTGACTTTTTGGTCAAAATCAAGTGTCAAGATTCATTTTTCATCAAGACATGTCAAAATATGAAACTTGTTCATCAAGAAATCAAGAATTGCAAATTAGGGTTTGAAATGAAGAAATTTCATAACTTAGAATTTTTCTAAGTTATGAAAATCCCTAATTTTTTTCCTAACTTTGTCCCATTTTTTCACCAAGATGCCTTTGGATTCAAACAAAACTCAAAACATGAAAGTTGTAGTCCATTGCAAAATATACAACTTTGATTCACAAAGTTTCCTCAAAAGAAGCTTGTAACTCAAGTTACAATTTTTGGAACAAGGGTGCAAAACATTCTTAACTTAGAAAAATTTTGACCTATTCTAGGCAGGATTTTTGTCTAACTTCATGGCCACTTTTCACATGCTTCCACTTGGAATTTCAACTTGCATTACAAAGATGGATTGTAGTACACATTCCAAGATTTCCAAAATGTCCAAGAACTCATCAAACACCCTTGTGGTTAGGGAGAATCGAATTTGGCAATATGGGCAAAAGTCACTTTGTTCATGAGCCATTTCCATGTTCATAACTTGTGCAATTTTTCAAATCAGCATGAGCAAGATAGTTACAGGCCTCTAATCCTTTTCTTACTCAATAATTAAATGTCAGTCCATTGTGCCAAGACATTATTTTGTGCATTTGGTCATTGTATAAAGAATTAAGCCTTAATTAGAAAAAGCAAGTTATCCATTTTTGAAAAGTTACACTTTATGTCAAGTTTGCAAATCAAGAAGTACAAGGCCATATCTTTGGACACATGATTCATGGACATAACACATTGATCAAGAGGGATTGAGGCAGCATGTTTAGGGGGCCTGCATAAGTCTAGAAACCAAGTTGACAATTTTTGCTTAAGTTAGAAGAAACATTGCATAACTTAACACAACTCACATTGCTGCAACCACAAGCCTAGAAAAACTTGTTGAACACATTCCAAACATAAAACCTGAGCTAAGACACGAGCCAACCACCTCCAAAACCTCACCATTCACAAAAACACCATTGTACTGCACAAAACAGGGCATCCCTGCAGTTTGAGTGGCACAACTCAATCCACTCGTGCGCCTTGGCCAAAACCAGTTCATACACACTCCATACCACCTATACAAACTATCCCAAGCATTGGACACGACCTGTAACACCTCTAACCAACTTCACCATTTTCACTTTTTCTGTTTTGCAAGTTGACTTCCATAGCTTGATTCATTTGGTTTCAAAGCAAGCTAAAGGTTGGAGAAGCATCCCTGACCTTCAAGCAAGCTGTACAAGTCCTCACATTGCACTGAAAGTACCTCCATTGCCCGACACGATCCAAGCTGAACAGGTAAGTTCATGGACTTCTATCTCTCAATCTAGGAAGAGTTAGCTTTAAGTTTATGAATGAAAAATGCTCTACTCATGGCCCTGAAGCTACACATATAATCACTTTGCATTTATGTTGTGTGTATTGAGAGAATTTGGAACCTGAACATTAGAAAAAACTTAGGTCAGGAATTAGGGATGGAGAAATTCTCTCTCATTTCTGAGAGTTAAGTTAAGTTTTTTATATGTCTGGATTCGTCTCTTGATGCTCTACATTTCTTGTGTTATGAGTTTTGCTTGAAAGTCCAGGAATCAGGAGTTAGGAAACGCGTGTTGTTGTTGTTCAAACCAGTCTGGAGGTTGAAGACAAAGTCTTCCTGGGCTGGGCCTGACTTGTTCTTTCTTTTTGCACCACAT